ACTTATATCGATAAATTACATTAGAATGATTGACTGTTTTCCATGTTATGCACAGAAATCAACACAAGATAATCACCATATTTGACCTCAGGTCCATAGCATTCCTTACTCATTTTTATTTTTGTAAGCTAATGTTACCCGGGAAAATGGAAAAATGGCTATGAGTCAAAGTGTGTATTCAGATGTTCTTTCTTCTCACATTTTTCTTTAACAATGTGTTTCAAGAGAAAGACTATATTTCAAGTAAGAAATTTGATCCTTTATTTTAAATAGGAAAAAAATGTTACCAAGTAGAACACGGAGTTTTGAGGCAGGGGTTTCGTTGATGGTTAGATTTTAGGGTCTGGAGGTTTTGTTAACTTGTAGCGTTATAGATTTTTGTTGGGATGAGGGTTCGTTATACTCTGTAAACGGCCGAAGGAGCCGTGGTGCGATCTCATTCATGCAAACCTCCTCGGTTAGCATTCTTTGTGACTCAGCTCAGAGGCTGGAATTTACAGGCAATCCACCACCAACCACTGATTTTTGTATTTTTGTCGTACAGATGGGGTTTGCCATGTTGTTGGGCTGTTCGACTTCTAGCTCAAGTGCTAGGCGTCCGGGCGGCGTCGGCAGGCGTGGGATACGATGCGGTGGGGGGTTTTGTTGCTTGTTGTGAGGGATGGGTTAGCAGGATGCTTGGTCCCAGCTGTCTTGAATCGCGACGTCGCAAGTGATGGCCTGTGTCGGCTGGCGAAGGGTTCGTGGAGTTACCATGGATGGCTATTGCAACTGGCGCGCGCGCGGCTCGTTGTGGGTGGTGACAATTTTTTGTTTAAGACATTCATAATTTGTTAATGAAAGTATAGCGCCAATATCATGCTGTTGTTTGATCATTATGTGGTGTTGGAGAACGTTGGATTTTCTTTTGGAGGTTGTATTTTGTTGAGAAATTGTATTGTATTCTACGCAAGGATTATTATTTCTAATCTGTTTTCTGAATTAAGGAAGGTTTGCCCCTTGCTTAATGAATCAATTGCTGAATTTTGCGGTGATCACTCTTGAAATCATTTAGGGTGATAAATGCCATAGCGAGGATAGCTAAAGAGGCTCTGACTGATTGGACAAAAGATCTAGATAGATGTTGAAGTGTGAATTATCTAGAAGTAGAATGACTGCACAAAGACAGAAAATAAATGTCTTTAAGATTAATGAGGATTCTAGGGAATGATTTTAATATTTAAGTGTATCGAGATACTCTTTCTTGATTTTTGTTATGAATCGTTGACAGTCAATTTCAGATCCACGTGAGGCAGATATTTAGAAACTTTAATTGTAGTATCTGTCATAAACCTCTGTATATAGATGGGTAAAACTCTGTGAGAAACAGAAATAAATGTTTGGCGCTGTTATTTTGCCGCTCTTACAGGGCCTGGAATGAGACCGTTGTGTTAAAGGATCACGGTAAAATGCTCACATTTAGTAATTAAAGTTTGATGCAGATTAGTAAGCATTTTTATTTAAGTAAAAATAAGAACAAAAACCTTGTTCCTGATAAAGCTATTGGTGAATGAATCTTAAAACATGGCATATATATTTCATTATTTTCAAAGTGTTATTTTGTAAACATTTTAAACTTATTTTATATAATGTGTTTTATAATTTTAAAATTCGAGAATATAGTTTGCTATTATTTCTTCTGATTCCAGCACAAGACAATGTAGTTTTTCCTGTGATTTTAAATATTGGCTTGCAAGCTCGTATTTGTTATCTTAATCTGTTGAGAATTCTGTAAGGTCCACCTGAAGACACTTCAGAGAGATTATGTATATTGTCCTTCGTGCTAAGGCA